AGCACGTATCAGCGCATGGTAAACCAACTGCTCCACAGCTACGCTCTCGCCTGCGTTCCGTAAACCCTGCTAAGCCATGGAAGTGTGATCTTTGTTACAAGAGCTTTGCAGCAGAAGATCGCCTTCAGGTTAGAAAATGTAAAATCTAATTATTTAGTTACAGGCTGTATTTTCTTTTTATTGTGTGCAATAAAGCAATGACAAAATAAATCAATTTTTTTAAAATAAATAGTTTATTTACTATTTGTTGCTTCTTTGCCATGTGATTTGGAATTTAAAACCTTTCTTTGGTATTTATTAATGCAAGGGCTTCATAAAGTTGATTCTCTCTTAAAAACTGCATGCTTCAATACCCCAGGACTTTACCCCTTACTTGAAGGTTCTAAGTTAACAGTACCGAGATGTATTTTTACATTGAGTTCTGAGCTGTCTTCACTCCCCTGGTATCAGCTGTTCGTGCTGCAACGTTGTACGATGTTGCTATGACCTTGAGGCATATAATTTGGAGACAGTTAGATTGTGTATTATAATACACAATCTAACCTATTTATTTGTGGTTTATCTAATGGCACTGTCAGTAGCTCAGACCATATAACATTAAAGAAAATGAACTGATTTATTGAATTACATTTTACTCTTTAATGGTAGTATAGTTCCAGTAGATTTAGAATATATCAATTGAAATTAAATGTACAAAAATGTGTATTATTTATTATAAATAATTTCCAAATAATGAAACAGGTAATCCTGTGACAGTTGTTAAAAGTAGAGCAGAATAATGATAAACACATACACGAAGGTCTGGTGGTTTTAAATTAAATATTTTCAAAAGTGATAATTGGATAATTATTCAAATATAAATTATTTGAATAATTAATCGGCAGTTTTCAGATTTTTTTTTCTTGCTATATAATTCTGCATTTTTTATTTTAGGGGAGGTACACAGGCCTGTTGACTTAAAGTATCTGTGATGTACTTTTTCTTTTGTGTATCAGTGTTTCAATCTGTTAGGCTGAATACTAAATATAACTGCTCGTGTGTATAATGGATGCATGTATATATCTCTTTCCCCCAGGAATTCCCTAGCAAAAAGGAACTGATTGATCACGTATCAGCGCATGGTAAACCAACTGCTCCACAGCTACGCTCTCGCCTGCGTTCCGTAAACCCTGCTAAGCCATGGAAGTGTGATCTTTGTTACAAGAGCTTTGCAGCAGAAGATCGCCTTCAGGTTAGAAAATGTAAAATCTAATTATTTATAATAGGTGAACAGACCATATGTATTGACTTTGAGGTTTGTCTACTCAGAACTTTGTTTTGGTGGCTTTGATCCTGTTGCTCAGAATGCCTCATTTCAGTCTTAATTCCCTTTATAAATCTTTTTTAAAAATTCAGAAATATTTGTCTTAGAGCGAGGAAGTTTAGTTCTTTTATTTCAGTCTGTTACGAGAATTTTCCGTAAAATTGTGTGTTTTATCAATTTGCTGTTTGTGTATTATAGGCATACTTGTGTTTTACAGCATCACATGTTGGTACACGGGGCTGAAGAATCCAAGCCCCTGCAGTGTGACATATGCTATAAGCGTTTCCTCAATAATTCTGCTCTGGCTTGCCACATAAAAATTCACACAGGTTTGTTGACATTTTCTTAATTGCGCTAATTAGTTTACCATTGTTTCCGTTTATACCTTAAATAATGACGTATAAATTCCCATTTCACCCTTTGAACAGCATTTATTTTCTGAGCATTTAAGACTTACCTGAGAGAAGGCTTTAGATATAAAAATATTCAGGCAGTCTGATTTTTTTCACTGACAGAATCTTTAAAAACAGAACAACTTGTCAGGTATATAAAACAACATGTTTTTACTCCAGATTCTAATGTGGAGGTTAAAGTTACCTTAAGAAGCCTGACATCCTGTTATGTTTGAAGACTTGAACATCATGTTTCAAAGAAATTCATATTGTGAAAGCTAAGAACAAATTTATAATAATTTTTGTGTGTGCTTCAGATTTTACATTGTTTCCTATAGATAACAAGTTGAAATCATTCAATCATTTGTATGCTTCAGGTGTTATAACATTTCTGTGTGTTGGTTTAAATATAACATTTAAAAATGTGTAAATTAATTTGTGCAGTTCAACCTAATTAATGCTAATTAAATGATAATTTAAGAGTAAAGTAAAGAGAAGCTCTAGTAAAAGGGATATTGGGTTTGTTTTTAAAACATGAAAGGAATGCCTGTTTAAATTTATTAGACATTGCCCAAAATGTGGCTTCCATCTTTATTTCTTTTTTCTGTTAACACTTATCACTGTTTGTCTCATTTCAAATAGAGAAGAAGATCTATGAATGTCCAATTTGCAAGGCAGTCTTTGACCAGGTCCTTGCTTTGAAAGAACATACGCACATTCACTCAGAAAATGGATTATTTACTTGTCTGCAGTGCAGTAAGGTGAGCTTTCATTATTTATGTTACTTCAGAAACAGGAATAAAGGCTTTGTACAGTGTTTCTAGTGAACTTGTCTGTACCTTTTTCCAGTGTTTAGACGTGTTCCCCAAATGACTGTAAATTTCAAACCAACTGAAGAAATATCTGATAAAGAACATGATAAATTCCTCTCATCAGCAATACCAACATTGTTACCACATAGTTGTAAGGGGTTATCTGCAAATTTAATGTCGGTAATCCATGAACTGTTTCATCCGTGTATTTGAAATATGCTAAAATAACGGCATGGGTATAGATGGCTGGATGGATGGGCGGATGTATGAGTGAGCTGAGATGTGAGGGCTGTCCGGTAGTTGGCGAGTGTGGGTGCTTGTACTGCTTGGATGGTGGGATGAGCAGATGACTAGTTAATGGATGGGTGGACAGTCTATTACTGGTTATATGACTTTGCATTTATAGCCATTTCCTAAGGAGGAAGGCACAGATTAGTTCTTGGAAAGATTTTAATATATATGCTTTCCGTATATGACGCTTCTTCAAATGAAATTTGTTCAGAGATTGTTCTGGACGAAGGAGTACAGGCCATTGAAAGTAGTTCCCATGAGGACTGAATTTGAACAACCTTCATATATTGGTATATTTTAATTCCCTCTTATGTTAATAGTCCACGTCCGGTAGTTGACGAGTGTGGGTGCTTGTACTGCTTTGATGGTGGGATGAGCAGATGACTGGTTATATGGCTGTGCATTTATAGTCATTACCTAAGGAGGAAGGCACAGATTAATTCTTGGAAACCTTTTAAATATATATGCTTTCCGTATATGACGCTCCTTCAAATGAAATTTGTTCAGAGTTTGTTCTGGACAAAGGAGTACAGGCCATTGAAAGTAATTTCATGAGGACTGAATTTGAATAACCTTCATATATTCGTATATTTTAATTCTCTCTTATGTTAATAATCCTGAGAGCTTATTTTTAGTTAGGCATTATTTCAGAAGGATTTTGTCCTTGCTGTTTACACACTTTCAACTTGAACACAGAACCACTAGTATTGGAGCGTTACGTGAAATATGCAGAGGACGGAAACAGTGTTGACTGTTCTTTGTGCCTATGACAAATTTGAAACACTGTTTAATGACCCTGTTGACCTACCAGGTGTTTGACGAGTACATTCAGATACGCAAGCATGTGCGTGCATTCCATGGTGGCAAGCGATTCCCATGTGGACTGTGCGAAAAAGAATTTCCCGCCCGGATAAATTGAAGCTCCACATGCTCAGGTGCCCAGCCGCCAGTTCATTCTCATCCGATGTTCTGTTTGCTCGCTCATTCTTTATTCTCTATTTTTATATATGTTGGTATGAATACTTTTGATGACATGCAACTGTTGACTGATAATGTGTTATTAAGTGTTCGCCTTGTATTTTTATGTCAATATTTGTTTGGTTTATTGGCAGCATTGGATACCCTGATTCCTAAACTTCGGAATATCTCATTTTTGCATTGTTGTGCTAAAACATTTATTAATCTATTCAAATTTTCTTTCGTTTGTTCATATGTCGTAAAAACAGTATTAACCAAGACACGCCGATGTAATTTACACAAAAGAGGAAACTAGGATCAGGCTACTATTTTCTGATACAGTGTGTCCAGAAAGTCACTCTGGAGTTTTATGGTGCTGTGTGTTGTTAATTACTATCTGAAATGAAAATTAACTCAAAACATTCTGTCAATATATTTCCACATTCGATCCTTTTATGGCATGACAGATATCTAACTGATACCTGTTTTCAACTTGCACACACACCTTAGCAAATCTGTAATTAAATGCTCCCTGTATGTATTAATTGTACTTGTTATCCACCCCGTTGACATAAAATCTAAAAATCACCATAAAACTATTCAGTATACCTGTAAATCATTTAATTAGTGTGGCCTTCATAACAAAGTTATAGGACCTCTTTGTTTGCCAAGACTGCAGCATCCGGAAACATTTATATGGATATGCTGGAGAATGTCATCTTTCCACAGATGAAAGGAGAAATTGGAATTTTTCAGCTAGATGAAATGCTGTTTTGTTACAGAAATGCTAGTCATGCCATGATGTGCAGTGAATTCTGTGACCACTTTGCCCCTCTCCATTTCATATAAGAGGATTAAATTAGTGAAAACTGTAATATGATATTTTGCTTTGTTTCGTGTATTACTGTGTGAAAGTAATTGAAACATATTTTCTGTATGAATAAACCCCTATCTTCATTACATATTTGAAATTGTTTAAAACACCAGAACTGTGATGCATTATTGCCCTTCAGTTTCTGCGACATTGTCTAATACATAAGTTAGACAGTTGCAGTAATGTTCAAAGGACTCCCTCAAATGATGTGTGGTTCAAGCCCTAAAGAAGTTTTATGCATCATCCATAATGCAGTTTTTTGGTAGCGTCTGAAACAATGGATCAAATGTTTGGGGGGAAATCTCGAATTATTGTATTGTATGCAAAGTTCGCGTGCTTTTTAATAGTTGCGTAAAAAAGATTGTACTCTGTTTTGCGCAGAATATGAAGATTTACATTTTAATTTTATGTGCAACGAAGCATACGCTTTCCCTGTAGAATGTCATCTTCAGCTGATCAGTGACCCTTCTGGTCAGTAAGCTTGTGGTTAATCATTATTTTTTGGTTAGGTTAGGTTAGGTTAGGTTAGGTTATACATTAACAGTAATGTATGTTTGTACAGTAAAAACTTTTGTTGCGTAGAAAAGTTCCATAATTTTCTTGCTTTGTTTCAGATGCTCATATTTAATGTATTTAGTTTTTATGTAAGCATCTGGGCTCTGTGTGTTTAGTTTGATGATGGGAGTTGCAAAACATTGTTTCACTTATTTCTACAGTACAACCAACCAGGCATTGTAAAAAGTGACATTACATTTACAGTAAGGACAAATCTGTATATTATATGTTGGGAATCTTTTTAATAATTGTTATTTTCTTTAACTCTTACATGTTTTGTTTTGAACTACATTATCACATTACACTGATCTTTCTCCCATTATGGAATGAATAAAGTAAGGATCGCACATCTCATGAAAACTGTTCATATATTTGGCATGGTGGTTGTTATTTGTGAAGTGCTCATGAATACAATTTCTTTTTCAGTGTTTGTTATTCTGAATTTTCTGTCACTTGGTACTGTTTGTTTATTTATTACAATATCTGGATGTTTTATTGGCATTGTTTGGAGCAAAGGGCTGATGAGACAGACAAAATTTTGCCAGGAATGACTGTCTTTTTTTTTGTCCAACTGGAACTTTTTCAAAATTACTCAGAATTCTATTCTTTAAGAAGACGTAGATTACACCCTGTCATGCCATCATGACACTTAGACTTTGTAACTTTGTCTTGTTAACGGTTGAGCTATTTTGCCTGTGTCATGGTAATGACAGCAAGTCCTTTGTTCCATACAGTATCTGCTAGTCTTCTTTTTCTTGTTTTATCTGGATGTTTGTTTGTTTGTTTGTTCTGGGTCTGTCTCTGCTAGGTGTTTGATGAGTACAGTCTGATCCGTAAACACATTCGAGCATTCCACAGTGACAGGAAGCACACTTGCTCATACTGTTCCAAGCCGTTCCCAACGCTCGACAAACTCAGAATGCATATGCTCAGGTAACCTTACTCTTTCTTCCTTCCTTCATATGCAGGGTTGAAGGACTGGCATATATCTGTTTGGGTGACGTGACTCAACTTTACAGTCTTTTAGTGTTTTGAAGGTGCGTGGTTTCCCGCTTTTATACCCTTCTGCTACCATATTACATAATGATGAGTTTCAGACCATGAAAGATATAACAACATTCGTTCACATTTAAGCTGGTGCTGCGTTCAGGGCATTACCAATTTTGGAGATTGAATTAAACACAGGTGAAGTTTATGGAAAAGCTGGACAATTTACACTTTCTCGCTTGATGTAGAATGTTCCCTGTAATTTATATTTCACATACTTAATTTTAAACTAATTTTATAATGGATTTTTAGAATTAAGCAGATTTTAAGAAGATAAAAGGATAAAGTTAATAACTTTAGTTTTATTAGACCATCATTTATAACTTATAACATATTTGTGGTTTCAGTATTTTATTATGTGCCCTATTTTTGGAGGGGGGAGCTTATGTTCATTTTCTGGAGCAATACAATATTTGCAAGTCCAACTGTTCAGTTATAATATAAGTTGTACTTGATGGTTAATAAAAATTAAGTTGTTACTGAACTGATACGGTGGAATGTAGTTAAATTTTACAACAGTTTCTGATTTTTGATTCTCATTAATGAATTAGAATTCAGACCATGTGCCAGTTATGTGATAATCATTAATTAATTCGGCTTGTATGTAAAAATCACTTACGCTGTCATGAAAATTTTTAGATCTTTAGTGGTTTCTCATGTGAGTTTGTTAAACTAAATAATGTGTGTAATGACACTGTAAGTTTGCATCTTTCTACAAACTGTAAGTTTAAGGAGACTATAGCCCAGATGGTAATACCATTCTGTGTTACTATACTTTAGGATCCTACTGCTGTAAGTATTTCTCATGTATCCTTTTTGTAAATTTTACATATTTACCATGTAAAGTTTTTCCCTAACAATAAATTAATAAGAGCAGATAACAGCTGGTAAGTTGACCATGGTTTTTTTTAAGTGGACAATATCATATTGACAAAATACAAATTGATTAATGTCTCAAAGATTATTACATATATTTTAATTCACTTTATACATAACATTGTTTGGTTTTTGCTTCCTGTTAGTCGTTCTGTAGTGGTATGGTACGACGTGCAATGCTTGGATTGTTGTTACCTTTTTATAATGACCCATAGTTTTGTTTGCTTGCTTTTGTGTTGGGTGGACTGAATATACAGGTAGCCCTTGATTTTCGCCAGGGATGCGTTCCTGGATGAACTGGCGGAAACGGAATCGGCGTAAATTGGAACTCTTTTTTAATGTAAATCAATGGAAGGTCAATGACATGCGTTCTCAGCACACAAACATTGACGAGTAATATAATGGCATGAAATTTTAAAGCTCTGAAATAATGTAAATAAAATAAAGGGAATTTAAAAAATATCTTTCATATACTTACAATCGGCAGTTCATTGCTCCCCATGATTGACTGCGATTCTTTCACGTGATTGATGTGTACAGTCATCTCTGCTGTTATGGGATAGTTGCATTCATGTAAGACGCAGACCTATAGAAAATCGCGTAGTAAAAATAACCCTGGTACCTCCACAGAGATTAAATTAGTCCTTTGAAAGTTTAAAGTGCCAGGAATGAAATTATATAAGAGCAAACTAGCATATGCAAAAGTTTGTATTTCACAAACAGCTTTTACCGATTCATCGATCTCATTGGAGCAAATTCGCGTTAACGAAACATATGAAATTACAGAGATGACTGTATTTATAATTTTTATTCAAAATCTGCGATGTAAGAATTACGATTTAGTATAAGAATCAGCACGAGAAACATTGTAAAACCTTATAAATAATTGTTTTGTTTTGTTTTTTGTATTTTTTTCCACTTTTTGACTTACTGGTTTCTGAATCGGCGCAAATCAAGGGCTGCCTGTAATTATAATTGGTAAACAGCAATTTTGGGACATATTCTTTATGTTTTATTACTCATGTATTCTTCAGAGTGTGTGCACACAGGTTATAAACATCAGTGATGAATGTGCTTTAGAATATTGTTTACTGTATATATGTGTTTTCTTGTTAAATCATTATTACCAACATATAATTTTAGTTACTCATTTGGATTTTCAACAATGGAACCACTTATAAATCTTTATTTTTTGTGTGTTTGACATATATACATTTTTTGTAATGTAATTCTTATCATGTGCATTTGTAGTACTGCAAGAATTTAAGCAAATTAGTCGACCAGTAATTTGCATAGCAGTTAAAAGGAAAATAACAAAATTGTGGCCATTATTTCTATGTTGTTTTCCCCCCCCGATATTCTAGAAAGATCTGTAATACTTTTCTTGTGTGTATTTTATATATTGTAATTTATTTTATGCTTTGCGGTTTTTTGTTAAACTTAAAATATTCTGTTAATGACGTTAAATTCTACTGTTTTTTAAAGGCATTCAGATCACCGCGAATTCCTGTGTGCCAACTGTGGGAAGCAGTTTAAACGCAAGGACAAGTTGAAAGAGCATATGAAACGTATGCATTCGGCCGAACGGGAACTGCGACTTTCCATGAAACCTTATCACACGCCAACTGCCAAGAAATTCATGCCCAAGGTACAGGTAAAGTTATCCTGTGTTGCAGCTCTGTTTGTTTTCTCAGTTGCAGTGAATGGTTACCAGTTTCAGCACTGTAGTTGCTTATACCATCTTTCAGGTAACTTAATACATTCTTCTTCTTCTGTGGCGCAACAGCCCAGAGTCGAGCCTTGACCTCCTCCCATGTGGGAGGTTTCTTTGTCTTTGAAGTGTGCATTTACTCAATCCTGGTTTGACTGCTAGAGCCATCTAGTAGTGAATCAGGAGGGACTTGGGTGAGAAATGGCCGCTGAATTTCGCTTACGAAACATCTCGTTCATGTTCGTAAGGTTCTTTTACATGTAGTTGATCTATGACATGTAGGACTGCCGGCTTTACTTCCCCTTCGAAGGAAGTTGTGCTACAGATTTTTATCGCCCTTAAAAATCCATCAACCTCAGCCGGGTTTGAACCTGCGAACCTTGGTTCCAGAAGGCATGTCTATTTGTGATATGTTAGGGATTTTGTCATCATGGTTCAAAACTTTTGATATCTGGTTGGTTCTCATAACAAACGTCTGATAAACTTGTTGTTAGGTAGCTGTCATATTTCTGTTATGATTGTGATATGGCATGAATATTATGTTTCAGGTTTCTCCAACAGATTATCATCGATTTATCTACAAATGCCACACTTGTCTCTTGGGGTTTAAGCGTCGTGGAATGCTTGTGAATCACCTGGCAAAGCGTCATCCTGACATCAGTCCTGATTCTGTTCCTGAACTTAACTTGCCGATCCTGAAAACAACCCGAGACTATTACTGTCAGTATTGTGAAAAGGTGACTATAATTTTTATTAACTGTTGATTGTAAGATGGCGTTATAGAGCAGTTGTGATACATTTTTATGTCATATTTGTGCTTATTATTCACATATGTAATAAGTGAGTGTGAAGATGGCTGTCTTCAGGGTTGTAGGACTATATAGTCTGGTAGATGTTTACCAGTATTTCAGAGGTACTTGCTGCCTCCATCATCAGGGCGATGAGTCATCACGCTACAACCCAAAAGACAGCTATCATCATTAGGTAATTAATTCACATTTTACATAACCTTCCTTCCAGTTTGTTTGTTTCAAGTACTATGTAGAGTAGTTACATGTATTAAGGACTGGTTTTGTTGGCATTCTTTTCAGATTTATAAAAGTAGTTCGAAGAGAAAGGCTCACATCTTGAAAAATCACCCTGGAGCAGAGTTGCCAATGAGCAACAGACGAAAGGTAAATGATGTTTGCTGTCATTGATAAGTGAAAGAATTGCATTTAGAGTCCTCTCTGTATAAATATCGTCCCTCACAAAAGTTTCAGTGTCTTTATGAAGTTATATCTCACGTGTTATGCACCAGACAATTGAAGCCATTATTTTTATGTTACCAAGTTAATGTGATGCTGTAGTTTCAAGTTGATTATCCTCAATATTTATAATTTTCTTTGAGCGAAGGAGTAACGTAGTAGGATTTGAGGTTTTCACGGTGGTGAGTCCAAACATGGCTGTATTCTGGTTTGTAGCACTGTGTTGTCTGTTTGAAGTTTACCATAGTTTCAGAGATTTTTGCTGCCTCCATCATCAGGGTGATGAATCATTTTTTGCTCTGATGATGGATGCAGCAATTTCCAGTCGGTATTAAGGTTGATTTTTGTGACTGTCACATCAGGGAGGTGTTCCAGAGATACCAGGCATACCAAACCCAACATTCTCACAGACTGTAGGCAGCGTAACAACGCATCCACATGGCTGTCCCTGGTGTCACAAGCAGTATGCATCAAAAGCAAAGTTACTGCAACACCAACGCAAGAAACACATTGATCTGCTGCCTCAGAACCAGCAGGTCAGTACCGACTGTTTGTCAACATTGCACTAGCAAATAATCTTAACCATCATCCTCTGTGTTCAAATAGAAGATTGAGAGTGATTGGCTGTTGAAAATTTTTGTAAAGCATTTCCCACGTGAAGCAGTGATATGATAGTTGACTGAAGTGTATATATTTCTTTTATTTCTATAGGAATAATTGTAATCTTTGGATACATGGGTAGGATTTACTTTGATGTAATGGTGTTCCTTGGATTTGGCTGGCTCTGAAATGGTTAAACTGTTATCTAAGGTCACAAATAAGTTTTTCGGAAGCTTTGGGGTAGGGAGTGAAGTCAGTTTGGTGAATAGGACTTCATATAATTTTTCAGTGCCAGTACCATGTAATCCCACTCTTATGTGCTTGCTATTTTTATTCTTGAAGCCACATTAGCTTATAGATTCTTTCAAACAATATATGAGGAAATTAATTGATTTTGACACCGCAGGCTATGAAGCTAACAATTATCATTTTTTGTAGTCACCTCGGGTGATGAAAAATCCCAACTCTCCAGGAGGACCTGAAGGTGGAAAGTTTTTGCCGATGTCGGTAGCTTCAAGACTCCCAACCTGTGAAGCACAGCAGGTGGTACAGTTGCAAGATACAGCAGACAGTGTGGTCACCTCACAGACCATCGGCATTATTCCAGGTACGTGGGACTTTTACTGTTGGTATCATTGAGGCAAATGCAAATAAGGGAGTTGACACACTAACTTGTTTGTTTTAGCAATAACACGCTTTTGAACATGGATTTAATGGCCGAGTATGTGCAATACAAATGTTGATTTGTTTTATAGCAGACTATCAGATCACAGGAACTGAAGAGGCCTTACAGGATTATGAAGAATCTGGAATAATAATAGACACTTCAATTTTGAAACGTCCATTGAAGGTATTTAAACATCCATTGGGAAAGTAATAAGTTTTTACAAAGTGAATTATTATAATTGAAGTAAACATAAAAGTGTTCAGAAGTTAAATTCTTATAATGCACGAGGACTGCTGTAGTCATTGCAGCTTTAATGAGAGATGTCTACCAGAGATGAGTGTCATCACTCTAATCACATGATAGCACTTAAGACGTCGTGAACCATAAGTATTTCAGAAAAGTGTATAGTTTTGTCAGATGAAACTAGTTGCGCGTACATGCATGCATGTGTCTGTATGTTACATTTTAGTTTAACTGATCTTGCGATTACTTTCAGAATCTCGCCGATGGAGTCTCAGAAGAAATTCTCAAGCGAGCCATGACAGAACTGAGCCAGATCAGTGAGTTTCATGTATCTGTTAGTGGGGGTACAGCATCTGGCCTAACTGGCCAGGATCACTTCTTCAAAATTGTACAAACTTCTTCAAACCCAATTACAGTAACCCAATCACAGGAATCTGAAATCCATCCCGATACGTCAACTCCTCAAAGTGCACCCGGACGTAACTGTCAGGATCCCATGTCCCCTGCTACTGCATCTGCCCCTACTACTACCTCTCAGTTGCAACATCTCCTCACTTCCGATCAGTCCTATTCGCTCCCGTCTTCTCCCGCTGCCACGGCATCACCTTCATCATCTTCTCCAGGACCACGTGCCTGGACCCACGCTCATGCCACCTACACTCCCTATACGGCCCGCTGACACTAGCCGTCGCTATTTCTTTGTGCACTGCATTGGTTTTTGCCCCTGAAACTCCGGAAGGAGTTGTGGAAGGGGCGATGTGAAACCTTGGTCTAAGCTCTTGAGAGTTGAAAACTCACTCGGGCAAATCTGCTCTGTTGCAGCTTTGGTTGTACAGAGATGACAGGAGTGTTGTTTTGTTGTGCAGGCTGAAACCTGGCAACACATGCAGGTGGGAGAATGAGGATTTTTTTGTGTAGTGCATTGTAGATCGGTGCATCTCGTAATGCTTTGTTTGGAATCTGTGAGGTTTGGCATGAATATAAGGGTTTGAATAGGTTTGTAATGTTATTTTATTGAGAGAGAAAAAAGATTTGCTGATGGTATTGGTTTGGTTTCGGAAGCAAGAAGCTTCCAGTTGTCAGTATTGTATTCCAGATTCAGTGGAATGTGGCTGGTTTACTTCTCCTTTTTTTAATCTTGTAGAGCCTGCATGGCTTTTAGTTTTATGGCCGGCTGTCTTTGTTTTTTGATGGAGTTTAGATAATACTGATGTTATTTTATTGCACCAGAAGAACAGTTCACTCTTAGACAATGTGTGAATAGGTTTTAAGAAGCGGAGCTGTCGGAGAGCAGGGAGCAATATTATCACTTCCATAAGAAAAGGAGGATTTTTAACAGGGACTGTAATCTTAGCAGAAAGTATTTTTAAAATGAAGATAATTAGTGACTTTATACCTGCTTTTTGTCAGATCGCACGAAATGTGGATTCATAATTTATCAATGCAAAGAAATTTAGTGCTGCAGTCGCTGATGTATTTATTAAATGTATAGTCATTTATTTATTTGAACTCGATAAAAGTTCTATTTTTTTAATTTTAATCTGCTGTCAAGAGAAAAATAAAGATAGGTACTGTTGTTAAATGTGTCCAGTAGGCATAGTTTTGGAGTGTGAACAGTAGTTGGAACATTGGTAAATGATTATATTTTGGGGAGTGGCGTGTAGTTGAATAGCATTCTTGCCTAGCCAGATAATAGACTAAACAGACAGCTTCTAATCTTGTTCAGATAAATGAAATTGTTTGTCCCCTAATTATGCAGGGGACTTTAATTTGTAACAGGTTATATACTTGTCATAGCAGTAAACTTTTCTACTTGTTTGTTTTTGGGTTGTGATTTCACTGTTGATGCGCACCAATTGAAGTACTGTCAGACCCATTCAGAATCAATCATCCTGTCTTTGTGAGTGGTGCTGTAATTCTCTGTAATAGACAATGCTTACACACAAAATGTATATGGCAATAGAATAGCCTTGAAAGGCGCAGCAATTGAATCATCTTTATCATGTGACGTTAATAGCAGAAATTTTTATTTCTGATATTTTGGATCTTTGTATAGAAATATGTAGGCCAATGGAGGATCTAGTTTGATTTTGCCAGTGCTGTGGCAATTTTTGGAGTACTATATTTACTTGAATATTAGACGATATTTTAATTCTGAATTAGACATTAATAAAGATGTTGAAGTGTCTGATGTTTTTGGTAGTCTGTTATTCGAGTAAATGAAGTATTAACTTGTTGCAATATAGAAATATTGATATCCTTCCAATAGGCTATGGACTAATATTTAAGGAATGGGCATCGTCCATTTCCATTTGCTAGCACGTGTTGGTTTATGTCAAATGCTTTTGTAGTTGTCAAATATTGTGGGGTGGGGCATTTATTTGCTTCCTGTTGGAATATTGTCCTTCCTGTTGGAATATTATTTGCCTCTTTATTTTTGCCCCCAACTGTTTCAACTGCAAAATGATTGTAAGTTTGTCAAGTCAGATGACGAACGTTTGTTACGAAAGCAATCACATACATGTATTTGCTGCACTGAAGTAGCTAATTCAGACTGAAACTGTTATTTACAGGTGTTTAATTTCACACCATTGTCATGCAAGAAGTGCAATAATTGTTTTAAAAATGAACACTGTATTTAAGTGTTTTGTAATGTGGATACATTTTTATGCAGTTGTTGTTATGCCGATATTTAGTCTTTCATATGGCACTGAAACACCACCTTCCCCAAAAAAATTTTATTTGTACGTTTTCAGTGGACATTTCAAGGGATGTGAAAGGAGAGTGAAAGCACGTGTGCGTTAAGTATGATTTGAGGTACTCACGGCGGTGAGTACAAAGATAGCCGTCTTCTGGGTCTTAGTGCTTTGTAGCCTGGTTGAAGTTTACCAGTGTTCATAAACTTCTACATCCCAAAAGACAGCTATCTACATGTGCATGAAATTGGTAGATAATGTAAATAGGTGTAATTTGTCGATCAATCAGAAATTTGTCTAGCCGAATACATTCAGGCATCCTCGTGTCCCATCCCTATTCAAACTGTTGTGACTGATCTGATTTCCCTATCACTTGAATTTTCAGAGTTTACTTTTACTGATAGTTTGAGTATATGTTTAAATATAGTATAATATTTTAAAAAGAATATGAGTTTACATTTAATAATTTTCATTGACTGTCAAACTGAACCTTTTTTCTGCATTGTATTATTCAAATGAATTACTTTAAACATTTGCTGTAGGTTATTAAAAGTAACTGCACAGTACTTAATTTTATGAAGTACTTTTGTGAAAAACCTTTTTTCTGCATTGTATTATTCAAGTGAAATACTTAAATCGTTTGCTGTAGGTTTTTAAAAGTAGCTGCACAGTACTTAATTTTATAAAGTACTTTTGTGAAGTATGGTATGCTGAAAGCAATTCGAGTACTGTTTTCACACTTTTATGCTCTGATTGCAGGAACAAAGCACAGATAATTACAAGGCGAATACATTTTCACACTTTTATGCTCTGATTGCAGCAGCAAATCACAGATAATTACAAGGCTAATACCCAGCCCTATTACCTGGCCTTGCAATATTTGTACGTTCTTATTACTGGCAAGTATAAAAAAATTATTTTCATGGCCTTGCAATATTTGTACGTTCTTATCACTGACAAGTATAAAACAATTATTTTCTCAAGATACTTCTATCTGGTATTTGAAACTGAAAATAATAACTTTTCCTTTGATAATTTAGGAAGGCTGTAGGGAACAATATGGGACTCTTGTTATGGTTTAATGTTCTTACAAAGATCCTTGCGGTATGTCAGCCATTTGCAGATGATAGAGTAAGGTATTTTACAATATTTATTTAGTATCTGAAATAATGTAAGTACATACAATACCAATGTACATTTGATATGGGCATTTGAAACAGCGTTAAGGGTAGGTACTGTCATGCCATTCTGTTCCATACTGTTCCTTTTGCCTTTAATTTACTTCCTTTTTATTTTGAAATTTATTTGTTGAATCTATTGTGCTAATACTGTGGATGGAATTTACAAATCTCATTGGCATATTTCAGTTACTTTCGGAAAGGGTCGCGCTTTGTTTTGATGTCTCCTGGCCACATCACCTCCTTCTTGTTATCAGGATAATTAGTGACATGGTTGTTGTGCTATCACGGGTAAATGAACTTTACTTACTCAGTTCTGTGACTTTGTACAAGTGTTCTATAAACATGTGACAAGGAGTTCCAGCATTCTTGATACAAAGATGCAGAATTAGACTTTGTTTTGTTTCTACTATAATTTATTGAAGGTCATTGGATTTTAACTAATCCTGTTGTGTTATTTTTCTTCCAGTGGCCTATTGCACATTGTTAATTGCTAATTATGCCATGTAGGGGTTGATGAATGTAAGGGGCTTAATGTTTTTTGTTTAATAATTTCACAGCCTTTACATATTTCAACCTGTTTATGTATTATATACAAGAATAGTCATTTGTACTGATAGTAGTTTGGATCTTATGAATTGTATGTACTATTGTTTAAAACTCAATATGTCCTGGATTAAACAGAAGAGATTTTTACTGGAGATTTTAAAATTAATTGTGTCTACTATAAATGTAATACATAACATGTGGCATATCATTACTCTGAATTTATTTTCCTACTGTATTTGTAAAGTGGTTTATTGTACTTCTTTTAATGGATTTAAAAATTAAGTGGACTGAAATGACTAGGCAAATGATTGCCCTTTATCTTGCATTGGCACCACTTGTATCCAGTATTCGCCGAAGCTTCAGTCACTGATGATTCACCCCCCCAGATATGTAGTTAAGGAAATAATTGTATTATTTTCATCAAATTACAAGTTAAAAGTTTACATCTAATACTTTGAGCTTTTAACTGTTGTGTGGCTTTCTAATGGTGTTATAGAATTGTTGACGGAAATGATTGTGAACTTTATTTTATTCTTGTCATAATTTTTGTGTGTATGAACTTCACTACGCCTGTCTCTCAAAATGAATTAATGTTGTTTTAAAAATGTAGTCTTTTCTCAAAATTACCTGTTTCCGATAGTTTATTTACATTACACATTAGAATTGGATAATGAATGTAATGTTGGTTATAATTTTCTGTTTCATTAGTCCTTAAATAATGGTTTCAGTTGTAAAAGTAATTTGTATATCTAAAATATTCTGCTGTGTTTGTCATTATCACTAAAATTTCCATGTTCTTCCAAACATGATTATTCAGTAATCCCACAGAAGTAACAAATTAAATTACTAGTTGTCTCAGCATATATATTGTTTTAAATTTTAATTCTCAAATCACAACTCATTCCTACGTTCTGTGATGTAAATGTACTGATATGCTATGTAATCATATACCACAACAATTTTACTGAATATCTGCCCATTCACATTGCAAGGATGTTACAGAATGGACCATAGTCACCCCCTTCCAAAATCTTATTAGCTGTCTCCTAGCCGTGGAAGAAACGAACAGAGATGCGTGTACATGGATAAAACAAGACTGAAAAGATGTACTGTTTGGAGTACACCGACCTTGCAATGGTGTTCTTAATGCCATTCCATATAGGCCATTCTTGCACTAATATGGTCTGTATGGCTTCCCCTCAGGTAATTCTTGCATGGATGTGGTCAGAGGTCATTATTGTGCAACAGTTTGTTCTAGCAGTGACCTCAGTTCCCATTGTTGCACAATGATCCCCAGTCATGCAGGTTGTCTGTCCCTACAGAAAAAAGTGACAGACATGGATGGGCCCCGTAATGTGTACTTCACTCATGATACAGTGTGACTGAACATTGTGATTGAGCAGTTACCACTCCTGCTTTAGTTAGGAAGTTCCCGGGTTCATGCCTTGTACCAGAGACTGGTTATTCTGGCTGGAAAGGGGGGATTATAATTTCCTCTGTCACTCCAGACAAGTGCAAGGATAGCACATTAAATTAGGCCATGGCAACACCCTATATTTAAAATAAGTACCAAGGTAGCTCTCTTTCATTCAGACAAGCATAAAGGTATCACCATGGACCCTCGTGTCTCGACTATAGCCTTGATTTTACCTGTAATCAGTACTGGCATAACATTCATCTGTGCATTAATTTTGAATTTCCCTCCACAATTGCTTGTCCTTGTGCTCAGTTGTTTGCTCCGTCTGCTCAACTCCGTGTTGTATTACGTTTGGTCGAAATGTTATTGTAAAAAACGTAGATATTCGGTAGCGACAGAAGTAAAAGATAGCTTGGATATTCATATGTGAAAAAAGGGATATTTACAGAAAGGTTAAGGTGCATAGTTTCTACTGTCAGTCTTGCAGAGATTTGTTCCGGTACTTTGCTACACATAATGCACAGCAAGTACCGGAACAAATCTCTGTTTACTTTAAATGTTTACAACAGTGACAGCCTGGTTTGTGACCTCCTTGTAGCAGGTTGTAGTGGTTAACACTTTAATGTTTCGCACATTCGAGTTATTCCTATCTGGAAAGTAGGAAATGTTCGTGTTTAAATTCGTATAATAGAGAACGCAGAAAGTAGAACCCATTTTATTCATAATTAGGAAGTGCACTAGCTCTTGTTATGGATTTTTCATTTCTTTCAAAATCTGATGAAATTATTGGTTAGCAGAGCGTGCTACTTTGTATACAACTGACTAATGTTGTTTTGAAAATAAATAGCAGTATATGTACCTGTGGACATTTAAATTTGTTGTTACATAAGCCAATTATGTAATAACTTGTAAGATTGCAGAACAGAACACATGATATTGGACGTGGTGGATATTATGACACATTTGCCAAATGTTAGACTTTATACCCCTGGACACCCATAAGGTTTATAGTTTGTAAGTGTAACATTTGTTTTGTAGGATTAATAGAAAGTTTGAGTGTGTACCATAATATTCATCCAGACTCTCACTGAAGTATAATTTGCACAGTTGTAATTGGAACCATAAAAATTCATGCTGTTGCACTTCTCCCCTGCAGACCTGTTACAGGAAGAGATTAAGGTTCTTGTAGCAGTGAAAATGTGGATTGTGGTTATGTGGGTGTGCCATGATTTTGTGAATCAAGTAAAGTTCAGTGTGATTTTTATAATATCAGAATCATTCACCTTTATTTCTACCTTCTCAGTAAAAGTGGTTAAATTCAAACAGATATATGTAGTGGAAGCTATCTGGTATGTGTAGGTATATATTAAGTGTTCATAAGTATGCATATGTATACATATTTTTGGTTATGGTTGGTTCCTAAAAATATGTTTGGAAATCAAAGATCTGTTCTTAAATCTAGAATCAACAGTATAAATTCCTATTGTGGCAGCCTCTTTATAAAAAAAATAAAAGTATAAGCAACAGTAATAATTTTTCCCAGATAAGTACATTTACTTCTCTGGCAAAAATTTGCACTTTTACTTTTGGAACAATCAGCTATCAGAAAATTTTCGGTTGCCATTCCTGGGATTCACCAGCTTTGTGAGCGTGTATAATAGGTTTTTCACATGACAAAGTTGAAAATTGTGTTGTGAGTTGAGTCTCCACTGTCAGAAACTTGTTAATAGCTGTATCTTGAGATATATAAACCAGTTACAATAAAACAATTAGAGTTCAAAATGAATTAAGGGGTTTATTTATGAATGTTGGCATGTGTACATTTACTTTTAGGCAATTTCTGTTTAATTTTAAGTTTATTTCAAAGTGGAGTATGATTAAGCTTTATTTACCTTCTTTTAGGTGTTTGTGACAGAAATATAAAGAAAGTGAAAACACATTCTTCATGTATAAATTAACATGACTTTACCTAGCAAAATTCAACAACTGTGGGAACTTTTTGTTCAAGCAGAGCATTCATCATATGAGGTAAGTTTCCATTTCTGATTTATTTTATTTTCAACTTTACTAATATGTTTTATTTATGTTTGTGAAAGTTTTTGAGAAGTTAAATTTCCACCATTTGTTCATCTTTGTATGAATCGCACCCAGGTGGTGACAAATTATACCAGTAGATGAGGAAAACATAAATTTTCTGAAACTGGAGTTTCATAGAAGTTGTAGTAGCTATTTTATCTTAAATTGCAAATTAAAAATACATTTCTGGCATCTGAGATTTGAGATTTTTACAATGGTGAAGGTGTCTGTTGTTGTACTAAAGATGTAAGTGATACGTTCCCCTGAAACATTAGTAACCAGCTGCAATGACTACATTGCATCACATCTCGGAATACTACAGTGGACATTCTCATGGTCCTGGAAGTGTTTAGTAGGAAGCTATCAAGTTATATGTTATTGTAGCTTAGACCATGTAGGACATAACATGCAGTCCTAATTAAGAATTATGAATTTATTATTGCTTGTCATATTGGCATATTTCCAAGATATATTGGTTGTGATAATTTTACAGTTCCTAGAGACTGATGATAGTTGTGACCAAAGACCCCATCATCAAAATCAGTGATGTCACTAAATTAATACCTGAAACACCTTGATTCTATTGTTGCTGAAGAATTGTTAACTGTTGTTTACTAATAATGTGCTTGATCTCTTGGCACTGTGAAAGATCAAAGATCTACTTGTTGAGTTTGGCTTGAACTTTTTTTTGTAGTCTTACCCCTTTTATTTAAGTATAGTTGAAAGGCCATTATTTTTGTTTTTTAATGCAAGACAAAAGGGGCTAAACACTTGATGTAGTTCCATCTACTTGAACTATATAAAGTAGAAACAATGCTAGAAGAATGGATAGAATTGCAGTTTGGAGCATCATAATTTGTCTGTATATACTGTATGTTTACGGCAGTTTTTAAATTCTTTTCAGAAACAAGCATGGTTGGACATTTTTCTGGCAGAATTCTTGGCTCAGATGAAAGAAGGCAAATGTTGTGAAGAGATATTGTCATTTTGGTTAGTATAGTGGGTGACCATTGAAATATTTTCATTTTTTATAGATAATTGTTTTTTTGCACTGTAAAATAAGTGTACAGCTTTTTCCAAATACTTCCCCGTTTGTCATTTCTGCTGCTGAATGAAAGAATCGGTCTCAGTTGGTATGGGGTTAATATGTTTATTAAGCATTTGATGCTTTATTTGTAAGTGTCTGATATATTTACACAGAAGTGTTTTTGATGTGTTGGTCTGGCGCAGAATAAATATTGATTTAATTTTTATCGTTACTTTCAGTGCATCTGGGGGCATAGCAACTTTGATTGGATGTGAGTTACTATCTGATGTGCACAAAATCTGCTCATTACCTGGTGATGGAGAAGATTTATCTGTCTTGCGCAAACACTTTCTGCAGGGACGTGGTTGGCGCAGTTTGGCAGCACTGCAGTATCTTGGGGTTCAGGTAATATTTCAAAATAATTTTTAAACTTTTATCCATCTTGAGAGAACTTAACTTTTATCTTTTATGGTCTCTTTCAGATGTTCTTTAAAAAAATCTGGCATATTCAGTGTCAAAATTGTTCATATTTTTAATTTAGTAACTATATACAATTGAGTAATTAATGCATCATTTAATGAGTTACTACAAATAATAAATGAAGCTGTTATATATTCTTAAATTTGAAGCTAGAAGAACTTGGTTTAGCTAACTGTCCAATTATACAATGCAGAGACCAGTCAATAAAGTTGTGAAGACGAAGACACTTGACATTTACAAGCGTGAATGAGAAAATAAACAAGGTTTGGCAGTGGAGAAAATATGCTGATTTTGCATTTGTGACTCTAAAATTAATTAATTAAAAAAATTAACTGAAATAGATTGACAAAAACATCGCAATTAAGAAATCAATTGATAATTATGGTATTGTACAAGTATTTAATGGTGTATGAAATGTATGTTTATTTTTAGAACCTGTCATGTGGACGGGAATTGGCAAGCCTGCTTATTTCTCTCTATCCTATGTGTCTTCAGAAACTGGGCCCGGATCAGAAAGATAACATGATAGTGGAAAACACTTTTATTACATTTTCCAAGGATTCTTGTAGCATGGAAGATATCCCCAGGTAATATAATTGTGAATATACCTGCTATGTCTTTCAGTTCTTTGTGATCTTTAGACCACGAAACATCGATGTGTTTGTTAATTAAACATCACCTATTCTTCTTTTTTATCCCTTCTTCAGAAGTTAAATAATTTCAAAGATTTCTTACTTAATTAAAACATTCTTAAAGAACAGGAATGTGTGTAAATATTAAAGCACATGACCACACATTTGGGCCAGAAAATGTAACTATTTTAGGTATTTAACTATAATTTAAGTGCAGTGCATACAGTTATTATAGTGAAACTGTAATAGTAGACAGAAAAGTATTTTATGAGGGGATTGGGTGTCAAATTTTACATTTATTTATGATCATAGCAAGTAAAATTGTTAACCATTTCATATTAGGCTATCTTCTGGATTATGTAGAAATGACACTGATATACATGATTTATGAGAGACAATGAAAATTCTGGGTCAAACTTTAACCTAACCTAACCTTAAAGTTTTATGAATATCAAAAAAACATATTGCTGTACAGTGGAGAGCTTTTATGTTGGATTTCCACTAGGATAAGAACTCCTCCAAAGACAAAGGCTGTTCGTATGGTGCAACAAACCTTGTGCCCTCCGGTAAGAGCCGAATTCATGCGAAGTCACAGTAACACGTCGACCAAGACAAACCGATCTGGTCGTCGTATTAGGACGCCGGTGAAAGGTGGTACATCACCGGTAGTAACAGTTGGTGGCGTAAGTGGAGATACAACAGACGCTACTAGTGATTGTGAGCATTTTCCTGGAGCTGAGAACTATCTGGATCAGCTGAACAAATCGAGCACCACGCTTAGGTAGGATGCACATGGTAACAGTTAGGTTTAAATCTTTTAATGGAACATGACTTTCTATAAAGCGAAGTGAATCTTATGTTTGTGTGCATTTAATATTTAATAAATTGTTATAATTAGTACTATACCAACAGTTCAAGTTGTTTAGAACATTTATTTTTCTATAGCATAAGTTCAAACGTTGCAAAATATTGCTATTGTCATTATTTACCTGTATGTATGAAGGAACATTCTTGAGTTTGAATTAAATTTAAAAATTGGTAGCACATTTATTATTATTAATGAAATTTGACGTTGGTTCACAACGGATAACATATGCTTTAGCATAAAGAACATTTTACAAAAATTTCATGGTTTTCAGTTGGATAAATGTTTAATCCGTAATGTGGAACATACTACCCCTGTAAAAATTTATTTTTATCAAGCCAAGAATCTTTAGTTTTGTTTGAAGTCAGAAACTACGTTTGTGATGAAATGGATGAGGCGTCAAGGCTAACGTCCGTTGAGTGCCGAGGTGATAGCCATTATACCTCCACTCCCCCATACAGCTTTATGTCATGTTGTTTAGTTAGGTACTAGAGGCAGCTTTCTACCTTTACCTTTATTCTTAATTGTTATTTTTTAAAATTATTTATCGTTTTAATAAATTTTGCAAGAAAAAAAATTTTTCCCACACCACCTTTCTCGCCATTTAAGATTCCTTGGAAGGTCCTGTGGTGTTATGTATTGGGAAGATTTTTGAAGGGCATAACTCGGACAGTTATGTGTACAGAAGAGCGTTGTGCTGGCAGTGTAAATATGCATTCTTATCTTGTTTAGGATCTATCTGGACCCAATGGACTTTGACTACTTTACATCAGTGGTACGAAGTGAAGATGAATCTAGACTGGACAGACCTGACTATGCCCCCAGTAGAAGACGTCTTCCTGGAGGTAGGAAGTTCAGTATTATTATAAAATTACGTTAATATGGACGTGTAAGTAGATACAAGCATTTTGGTACTGCTTCCGTCTTCATCCTTGAAGTACACAACGTATCACAACTGAGGAGGCCACCATGGGCAATAATTCAATTAGTCTATTGAATATTTTGTAACTTTTGTTTCATAGTCAACTTACTGCACAATAATATGTAGAAGGAAATTGCTCAAAACTAGAATCTAATATGTCCTTTTACATTAGAAGTGGCTCAGTTAAGACTAAACACATGAGGGATTTTTTTAAAATGAGAAAATCCTTTGAAGAGCCAGTGATACTTATTAAATGCTTTCATTTAACAAAAGTTGCTAGAAAAATTTGTGTATATAAGGTGTGATACTAGTTATCTGACTTTATGCCAACATTTCTGCTGTTGTAGACTTTTAATGCTTGGAAGATTTGAAAAAGAAATTAAAATCATTGTAATATTGGTATTTCACACGCAAAAGTATTACTTAATGTTTTTATGCATGTTTATACACATTTCCAAGATTACGCATTTGATATTAATATTGAATTTACGTATGTAACAATATGTCCATCGGTTTTCAGGCTGGAGTTTAGTATATAACTTCAACTTTAGGGATGGGCTGCATTGAATGTTGTAGGTTTTCCAATATTGCAAATATTGCAGTTGCCATCTTCAGGGTGAAATAACAAGGCAAAACTGAAATGTGTATTTAGCCTACCTTAATGGGTTTTACTCTTTGGTTTGTTGATAGGAGATGGTGATAGGATCTAGGTATTTTATTGAATATATTTTTAAGAAATCTTACTGTTTTTGGTAGGAAGAAGTGACAGAATTCCAGATTCCAGAAGGTCTCTTAGTCCAACTGACTTTGAGGATTCAAGGATTAAAGAAGTTTTATCTTCAGAGATTCACAGTTATGAGTTTTTTCGTCTCGTGGTTGACTTGCTGAGGAGCCTGTGTGGGGCAGAGCTAAATAGCATCTCTATAGTGACAGCCAATGGACAACACATTTCCCTGCAGGCTGTTAACTTTGCTCTGGAGAACTTATGTGCGCTGCAGTTCGGAGGCAGCGCAAACGTCAGTCTAGTCGCAACACAAGTTGCTGAGCTGAAGGCGGCGATGACTCGTCTCCTGCTCACAGCGTTAGAAAAGGTTTCTTGAATTTGTTTTACAATCAAACATGTAAATAAATTCAGTCACAACAGTGATGTATACTGGTTTCAAAATATGAGTTGAGGTATTGTCACAAATGTGGATTGTGTTATATAGAAATCCACAAGTTGCTTTCTTATTGATTGTTTACTTCATTAAAGTAGTTCATGGTAACAAACCAACTCCACAGAGCAGAATCCTTCATGTATAGTTGTTCAGCTACTCAAGAAATTATTGTATGAAATTATGATTTATTTTATTACTCTGTAAGAATCAGTCACTGGTCCTTGTCCCAAGCCAGGTGGATCCAATCCAGACCCTAGTTGGTCTTAATTCTATCCTTTGATCTGTTCCTTGATATTCCAAATGGACCCTTACCTCATAAAAATATCATGTATATTGGGTGAAGGGATATCAGATAATT